GGTCTTCTAATTTTTTAAATATGGTTTACCGTATAAAGAATTAATGAAGTAAACATCTTTAAGGAGTAACTTTTTAGATAAGTAGTCACCATCAGTGAACCAGGACTTGTAATTACTCCAGGGAGAGCCGCACCGAAACTGCACTATACTCTGGTTTCTCTTCAGATCGTATAAATCTTTCGCCTTTTACTAAAGATTTCCGTGGAGAGGAACAATTCCGAGTCTGAACCAATTTTTTGAGGCCTTGTGCTCTACAAGGCTAATTATGGTGTTTAAGAGCAGACTAAACTTGCAAAGTTAATTCAGGAAATTTTAACTCGTACGTTGAGTATTTTCTTTACGTGTTCATGTTAAAGATATCTATAAGTGAAATTAACTGCTTTATGTATTACATAATGTATTTTTAATGGCTATGTTACTGTAATGTACATGTTTTTGTGAGTGGTAATATAAAGAATTAAAATTCATGTTTTTTTACATAAAAATGAGTGATTTACACTTCCCAGGGAAAAGCATTTTGCCTAGCCCCTTTCTTACTGTCCTTGCTCTCCGTGATGATGCCTTCTCATTTTGGATGGTATTTTGTTTATTTTTTTTTGCGGAGCCGGGGATTGAACTCATTGCGCTTGCCAGGGAAGCACTTAAATTCCACGTGCCACGTATCTCCTGGCCATGATTTTTATTTTAAATAAACTCTACAACAGGCACATCCAAATTGAAGAAAGCAGCATATTGTTGGAGTTCATGCAAATGTAGTCAGGTACAGGATACCAGCATGTTCTGATATCTGCAGTACCAGCCCCGGGGGCGGGCGCACTGAAACTGTACTCCCAGCAAGAAGCTAACAAGAAAATTCCACGTTGAAGGGCAGCCTGAACTCTGTCTCTAAAAAAATAATACCGTAACATTTATCAAAATTTGATATTTAAGGGCCGGCAAGATAGCTCAATGAACTAAGTGCCTACCTAGGCAAGCGGAGGGACCGGGGTTCGATCCCCAGCACCACATACAATGCCCACCGGGGCAAGCTAAGCGCTTCAGCCACTGAGTCCGGACGAGGTGACGCAGGCCTGTAATCCCAGCACTGGGGAGGCTGAAAACGAGGATCACTACGAGTCTGAGCTGTGTAGTGAGACCCAAACACATTTCAAGAAAAAAAGTTTGATATTTAAGCTTGTGTATCTGATTTTTTTCATTAGCATTATAGTCTCAAGGTATATGTTCCTACAAATGACTGGTTTATCTTCCTTTATGACAGACTAATACTCCATTGTGTGTAAACATAATGTGTGTGTAAACATAATGTGTGTAAACATAATGAGCAAAACATAATGAGCAAACATAAAGAGCAAAATAAAAGACAACAGGAAGGAGAAAGATCGGTGATTCTCAAATGGGGAGAGGAGCAAAAGATGCAGCAGGGGGCAGGGCTCAGTAGAATAAGGCTCGCCTGGCAAGCGCAGGGTTCTGAGTTCAATCCCGGTATCACAAAACG